ACGCACACGCGCACGCGCACGCGCACGCGCACGCGCCACGCGCACGCGCACGCGCACGCGCACGCGCACGCGCACGTTCACGCGTACGTGCACGCGCACGCGCACGCGCACGCACACGCACACGCACACGCACACGCCCACGCCCACGCGCACGCGCACGCGCACGCACACGCACACGCACACGCACACGCACACGCACACGCACACCCACACCCACACCCACACCCACACCCACACCCACACCCACACCCACACCCACACCCACACCCACATCCACACCCACACCCACACCCACACCCACACCCACACCACACGCACACCACACACACACGCCCACACACCCACACCCACACCCACACCCACACCCACACCCACACCCACACCCGCACCCACACCCACACCCGCACGCGCACGCGCACGCGCACGCGCACGCGCAGGCACACGCGCAGGCACACGCACACGCACACGCACACGCACTTGCACACGCACACGCACAGGCACACGCACACGCACACGCCCACGCCCACGCCCACGCCCACGCGCACGCGCACGCGCACGCGCACGCCCACGCCCACGCCCTCGCGCACGCGCACGCGCACGCGCACGCACACGCACACGCACACGCACACACGGACACGCATGCACACACGCACACAAACCCGCACACGGACAGAGAGACAGAGACACACAGACGCACCACAGACAAACATACAAACAGACGCAGGCACAAACACATACACATATACACACACACAAACACAGGCAGAGACACAGAAACACACACACGCAGACCCACACACAGACACGGACACACGCACGCGCACACACACACACACGCACGCGCACGCACACACACAGGCAGAGACAGAGACACACAGAAAGACACTCACACGCATAGACACATACACGCACACAGACAAACACACACCCACACACAGGGAGGCGAACACACCGACACAGACACACACACGCGCACACACACACACACACTGGACACCCGCATACCCACACACCCACATCCCCACAGCCCCACACACACAGACACACACACACAGACACACACACACACACAGAGACACACACAGAGACACACACACAGACACACACACACACACAGAGACACACACAGACACACACACACAGAGACACACACACACACAGACACACACACACACAGAGACACACACACACAGAGACACACACACACACACAGACAGACACGAAGGCAGGCAAACAGAAAGACAGAGAAAAGGAGAGAAGGAGAGAGAGAGGAGAGAGAGAGAGAGAGAACAGAATGCCAGCATTAGCCCGTGTTGTCCGCACTTTCGTCAACATGATGTTGCCGATGGGCATGTTGAACCAGCCGCAAGGCTGGAAGCCACAGCAACTGTTTGCAACTTCAAAGGCAGAGGGGTCGACGCAGCGTACTCTGAGGGCTTGCCCTTTGCCAGGAGAGCCATGCTTGGAGAGCGTTCAGGCGCCCGAGCTTTGTGCGAGGAAGATAAAGGGCAAAGACAGAAAGGCGGACATCGCATGGTGTTGTTGTCTCTCTTTTTTTGTCTCCTGCTTTGAGCTTTGTGCAGTTCTGCAAAAAATGGTCCCCCCATCATCAGCCTCTGCGACCAGCCATCCCGGGCTCGATTCACTGGCGCTAAACACCCAGAAAGTAAGAATTGGTTGAGTACGAGAGAGCGAGAGAGAGAAAGAGGGGAGAGAGAGAGAGGGAGAGAGAGACAGTCAGACACAGCGAGAGAGCGAGCGAGCGAGAGAGAGAGAGAGAGAGAGAGAGACAGAGAGACAGTGAGACACAGAGAACAGCGAAAGAGCGAGCGAGAGAGAGAGAGAGAGAGAGACAGAGAGAGAATGAGAGACAGAGATAGAGAGAGAGAGAGAGAAACAGAACGAAAGAGAGAGACGTGCCGTGTGGATTTTCAATCATCTCAACCAGGGACCAGTGCTGCTCGCTCACTGCTTGGCCTGGATAGGGGAACGAGGCTTCTGCTCCACTCGAACTTGGCCTGTCAGGATGTGGAGGAGGCCCTTAGTTTGCTGGCGGTTTGTCAGCGACCGATCCCGGTGTCGGCGCTTGCTGCCTGGCAGGGAACATGCGGGACCCTGGTCCAGTCCAAGAGAAAGGTTCTCTCACATAGCAAGTTTTGCCAGTCATGTTCCGAGCAAGTTCAGCAAATAGAAGCTGCCACTTGGAGAATGGTACCATGCGACCAATTCAGAACGGTGGCATCCCCAAGAAGGAAAGGCTTCAAAGAAAAAGACGGTGGCAAACAAAGACACCCACAGTGTCTTTCATTGAAGGTACCCCCTTGTTTGGTGGGTTTAAAGAGGGAAAACCACAATGCTGGGTTTCCCGCAAAAACAGACACGCGAATCGATTTGCCTTGGTGCCCTGACAAAGTTTGGATTGAGTCAAACTCACCAAGACACTGTTCCCCTTCCCAAACGTTTCCTGCCACTGGCCATGTCTCTCAAGCCCGCGCAAAAGTCCTCGTTTCCCTTCAGATCCTTTGGCCGCTCTCCCGATCCCCATATCCTCCCACCCTCACCCAGACTCCGAGGTTTCCTATCTCCACGCCATGGCCAAGCTTTCCGATGGCGATGCCTTCGGTCCAGTGGAAGGCATGGAAGTTCGCCTAGCGCGTGTGCTGGCGATTTTAGTTTCTTGGCCGGCATGCTCAACGCGCTTCGAAATTGCTTGCAGTTTGTTTACTTCAGTGGGGGTTTGCAACAGGGGATGTGTGTGTGTGTGCAGAGTTCTGGGCCTACCCCGGAACAACCAACGGTGAACTTACAGTGCACTGACATTGCAGTGAACAGTGCGAAGCTGCATTAGCGCACGCTTGGGCTCAGTTGATGCCACTGCTGACATTTGACAACGTTCGCTAGGTACAGTAGCTCCGGCTGTGCATGCTCAAAAGCCAGTATGTTTTTGCTGCCTGATTAGGAGTTGGACTCAAACACGTATATATTAGTGCAGATGGCGCAAAAAAGATAGATCATGCCGCGGGGGCGGGGGGGCTGAGCATATAATATGCATATATGTGTGTACACATGCATATCACAGAAAGACATCTCACATTCCAAAGAGCGCAGGTTTAGAGACCCTGGCCTGCGACCCGCGGCTGGTGGGCCTGCTGATGGAGCTCAGGCCTGAAGGGATTCCGAATGGAGCTCGGTGAGACTTGGGAGTGGATCCGCTCGCTTTGCTCAACTGAAGTTGGTACCTGTCCGGCTTGAAGTTTCGAGGGATGCGTTGCTTTTGTAAAGCAGGTTCATGCAGTTTCCCCGCGACTGGAACGTTTGTTCTGTGCAGGGGGATTTTGCAGAATCACGTTTCAGAATGCTGGCAACATTGTTTTTGCGTGTCTACCAGTACATTTTCCTTGCCTGGCCTCCTGCCTTTCCATGATCAAGGGAGTTCCCAGCACTAGATTGAGTCACACCAGGAGCTAAGTTCGGACTAATGGAGTGCGCTGTCCTTCGGGAGTTGCTGTTCGGTGGGATCGTTTGGCCTGCGCACCCGAAACTTCAGGCAGAGGGCGCAAGAGTTGACCACCTCACGGAGCATGATGCGTCCGACACTCAGTGGGGACAGTCTTTGCAGAAATTTCTTTTGGGATGCGTGAAGGCAACCATCCTCCCATTTCTTTTCAAGTTGGGGTTGATAGTATTGCTAAAATGGTTGAGGATGGTCTGAACTTGCTTTGCTTGCTTGGCTCGCTTGGTTTATGATAAAGTATGTTTCTGTTTGTACGTATGCCTGTTTTGTCGCTTGCTTGCTTGCTTGCTTGCTTGCTTGCTTGCTTGCTTGCTTGCTTGCTTGCTTGCTTGCTTGCTTGCTTGCTTGCTTGCTTGCTTGCTTGCTTGCTTGCTTGCTTGCTTGCTTGCTTGCTTGCTTGCTTGCTTGCTTGCTTGCTTGCTTGCTTGCTTGCTTGCTTGCTTGCTTGCTTGCTTGCTTGCTTGCTTGCTTGCTTGCTTGCTTGCTTGCTTGCTTGCTTGCTTGCTTGCTTGCTTGCTTGCTTGCTTGCTTGCTTGCTTGCTTGCTTGCTTGCTTGCTTGCTTGCTTGCTTGCTTGCTTGCTTGCTTGCTTGCTTGCTTGCTTGCTTGCTTGCTTGCTTGCTTGCTTGCTTGCTTGCTTGCTTGCTTGCTTGCTTGCTTGCTTGCTTGCTTGCTTTTTTGTTGTTGTTTGTCTGTCTGTCTGTCTGTCTGCCTGCCTGCCTGTCTGCCTGCCTGTGTGTCTGTTTGTTTGTTTGTTTGTTTGTTTGTTTGTTTGTTTGTTTGTTTCTGTGTTTGATGGTTTTTTGACTAGAGGCGGTAGAACTTGCATCTACCCTGGAACTGATCGCTTAGTCAACTCGATCATCCACTGGGCCCTCCTATTCGATATTGGATTCTATCGTTGGGCTTTCTGATACACCAATTTGGGACGTCCAGTGATCCCGAACATTCAAACTGTGACCAGGTTCTTTGGACGAGTTTGGTGCCAGGTGTGGTGTGGGCCCTGGGCAAGCTGAGCCTGAAGGGCAAGGAAGTCCAGGCACATGCATCTGGAGCCCCAGAGTTGCTTTGCAGAAACTCGCAAAACTACGGCACTGAATCCCTTGAGTGGGGTTGTTTCCCCGCGAAGCTACCACAGGTGACAGTGCTGATGGCGAGTGGGGGGTGTGGGTTAGCAACGCCAAGGGCTTTCAAAGATATGTGGGGAGCCATTGCCGTACCGCTCTATCACGGCACAAGCGCTTTTATTCAATCGGATGGCAAGCACCATCTCATTTCGGGCGCAGCTTTCGGAGAGAATCGGGGTGTGGCACTCGCTCTGTCCACAGAAAACAAAATCTTGAAACAAGCGCAGGACGCAGTGCTACTGAGGGTTACCATTGCCGGCTGCAGAGCACTTTCTGGGCAAAGGAAGTGAATATCCCTGCCGGGATTGGTGCCCTGAGCTAAGGCACGTTCATCGGTCATTCCATCCCCCAAAACCCTGTGCTTTGCTGAAGCCTTGAAACCAGTGTGACAGATGGGGCCATTCTTGTCCCTTGCAGCTATCCATTTTCCAAAGGAAGTCACAAGGGTTTGGAAGCGGCCTTACGGAAGGACATGGTGGGGGCACGCCAGTCACAGCGCTTTGAATTGCCCCTTGCAGGCCATCATCGGCCACATCGCTTTGCTGGCCCCGCCGCAGTCTCATGTGCTGAATTTCAAAAGCTGATTGATGCGACGTGGGGCAATCGCAAGCCAGGGAACGTCAGGAGACTTTTGAGGCTCAATAGGAAATTGTGTTTGTTCCATCCGTTTGAGAATGGAACCCAGCTTGGAGGGCAAACGGAGCTGCCGGAAAAAACTAGTCGTAGACAGCCAATCAGCACATTGACAAATTGACAACATTTCTTGAGGCATTCGGTTTGGCCAAATCACCCGTGCCTGATGAGCTCTGAGGCCGCGTCTTTCGCAGTTCTCGCAGGGCTGCCCAGGGGTCTTCTCGATGGGACGTGGCAGGTTCAATGCGCCTCAGGAAGGCAGCAAGGAAAGGGCCAAACGCAGATGCCATCCGAGCAAACCAGCCCCAATAATGAATTCTTGCATGCGGCCAGCTGACCGAAGGTCGCAGGAGCTGTCGAACATGCTTTGGGGCCTCGCAAGGCCGGAAACGAGTGGCATTGCGTCTGGTGCTTGTAATGGAGCTTTAGCAATTGGCCATGTGCTTCCTGCAATTTTGCTCCTATACTCCCTGGCGTTGTTTTCTGGATTGTGTTTCAGTGATGCGGGCTCCATCAACTCAATCTAGCAATGAATGCTGGCAGTCGCTGGCAGGATGAACGACGGCGTCAAACTCCAGGTCCAGGAAGCAATACCGCCGCCCAGATGAGTCTTAAGTGCTGCAGCATTTTTGCTGCCAAAGTGATCCTTGAACAAACGATGCATATTTGGGGAAAGTCGCAGGAACTGCTGTTATGCTGTAAGATTGATCAACGCAAGTGTTGGGCGTTCAAGGAAGCTGACGCTTTGTGCATGCCTGACCAACACATTTTTCAGGGAGGTTCAAAGAGTGTTTATTGGTCACGGAGCCGCATATTGTGTGCCTGACACACCTTCTTGGGAGTCATTCCAAGGCGTTGTTTGTCGGAAACGGAAGCTCGCAATGTGTACACACAACATATTTGTCAGGAATGTTCATGTATTTTCTTGCGTGTGCCACACTCGACAACTCGCAATCAGTGCCCTGACGCATTTTTGAGGGAAATAAGACAGTCCTTGTTGGTCATGCAACCTCACAATAATGCCAACACATCTCTCAAAAGTGGGACTTTACAGTCGTATTGTTTTGCTCAGCACATTTCTGACAGGGCAACACAAAATGCAGTTGTGTGCTGCCAAAGCAAGAACACATTCACATTGCAGCTTGGCGTTTTTTGTCGAGCAACAATCGCACACGTATTTGCAGGGAATCCCACACCACACGAAATGCACGCAAACACTAGGACAAAGGCAGGAATTTGCAACCCCTTTGACTTTGAGCCCCAAGAAAACCCTTTGTACAAGTGCAGACCTGTCCAATCAGACACCCAGAGCCGGACAATTAACAACCAATGCAGGTTGTGGTCAGCCCCAGATTTTGACCCCAAAAATGCAGGCCCGAGAGGAAGACCCCGCCCGAGACGCAAGATGGCCCCTTTCACAGGAGGGTGTGGGTCTTTGATTTAACAAATCTAGACGACGAGTGGCCTGGGAGCCTAGAGGCAAGTTGATGAAGTAACTCTCAAAAAAGTTGGCATGATAAGTTAAAGTGGAACAGTTGGCATGGGAAGTTGGCAGTGAAGTAACTCTCGAATAGTTGGCTTGAGAAGTTGGCAGGTCAAGCAATTCTCGACAAGTTGGCATGAGCAGTTGGCTCGTGAAATAATTCTCGAAAAGTTGACATGAGAAGCTGGCAGGTGAAGTATCTTTCTGGAGCAGTTGGCTTGAGCAGTCGGCAGCTACGTAAGTCTCAAGAAGTTGGCACGGGATGTTGGCATGTCAAGTAATATTCGAGAAGTTGGCAGAATAAGTTTTTCACGCAAAGTAATTCTCGAAAAGCTGACACGAGAAGCTGGCAGTTGACGAAGCTCTGGAGAAAGTTGGCATGAGAAGTTGGCAGGTGAAGTATTTCTCGAAAAGTTGTACTCGAGAAGTTGGCATGAGAAGCTGGCAGGTGACGTAACTCTCGAAAAGTTGGCACTAGAAGTCGGCAGGTGAAGCATCATGAGATGAACTCGAAAAGCTGGCAGGTGAGTTTAGCGGCTTGGAGAAGAAGCGCTGTGCTTTGCCTACCACTTTTGTGGTTAGAAATTGAGATTCTCGAGCCGGAGCTGGGGAAATACGCTTCGAGTAATAGTTTTGTACTCGAGATTTACGATTTTGTAGCCTCTTCGCGCACGATTTTGTACTTAGAAAATTGCTACGCTTGAGCCTGAGCCATGGAAATGCACTTCGCGTACTACTTTGTTACTCAAGAGTTACGGTTTGCGATCAGCTTGTGCTTTTAGGAAGGTGAAGCATCTCCCGAGAAGTTGGCATGATAAGTTGGCAGGCAAAGTAACTCTCTAAAAGTTAGAAGGTGGCAGGTGAAGTATGGCATAAGTTGGCAGATGAAGGTTGGCGTGACAAGTTGGCAGGTGAAGTTGGGTGAAATTTGCAGCCGCTAGAAGAGCCCTTCGCTTCCGGGAAACCGATAGCCCCATCTAAACGATTTGGGACAAGCCAGTCAAGGGGGGATTTCTTTGATAAGATACAGTGCGTGCCATGAGCTGGTGCCTGAGACCATCCCAGGCTCGCGTATGCTGTTATGAAAGCAGGCGGGCGCGCCCGAGGTTCCATGTCCATGTGTTGATCCGCATCGTTTTGGCAGCTTTCGTTTTTACGATCGGGACAATGTTGTTCTAGTTGGTGTTTATCAGTCTTTGTGCGCGTCAGTCATCGTCTGAAAGGAGGGCTCGGATTTGACTGGCCCCGCAGCCTGTCAGCTGCAGACGTAGCACAGCGTGGGCCTTCTCTGGCATTCAGATGCAGAAATCTCCAAGCAGCCCTGCTAATCGTGGATCGAAACCTGTTCTACTTTGATCGAACAAACACAGGGCCTAGCCTGCAACGAGGCCCTCCGAAGTCGTGACTTGTGTTGTGTAGCTGGGGGTCGCTTGGGCGCAGGTGCTTCGCGGCTTCATAGCTTCAGCATCCAGTGCCTTGGGGCTCCGAAAAATATCTGTATATGGTTGAGATTCAAGTGCGGCTGCGTGGCCAGAGAGGGTTTTTCTGAAAGCAATGTGCATTGCATTTTCAAACTCAACTGCGTTTTTGCAGCTAACTCGGCGGCCTAAGTGGGTAGTTTCTTTTCCGCATTTAGCATGCAGGTTCTCTTTGTTTCTTTATTGTGGATCGTTTGCTGCTCTGTCGTTTGCATCCTATGCTGAACTGGGTTGGTTCACTGTTGGTTTTTGTTTCGCATTCCCAAAGCACGAACCTATTTGCCAGGCATATTTTGTTCTTTGGAAGGCATGGGCTTCCCATCTCAGAGGGCGTCTAGCTGTGGCCAGGGTTGACTGGCAAGTGATTGACATCAGTCTTTGTCGACGTGCGGTTCAGCAATGGATCGGTAAGTCTGAGACAGGATCGGTAAGTCTGAGACAGCGCATTTGAGGAGAGGGGAGAGTCCTTTTTTGGTGGAGTCCCAATACCAAAGGTGTATCCCCTCCCCGCCAGGGTGGGGTAATCCATCAGGTGTGGATGAAGCTGCATCAACTGGCAAAGTAATACTGTTATGATCGGTTGACCCTCCTGCTGAAATGTGTGACGCACGGCAAAGGGCAAGCCGCTGGCAACACGCTTGGTCTACCTGCAACGCATCCTCATGAAGGGATACATCGTTTGGATGCTGCTTTGTGCTCAATGTCGCCAAGCCCTGACCATGGTGGTTGTTGGGCGGGTCAGTCCTGATCGGGTGGGCTGGTGGATTTCATTGGCGCAACCACTCTCAAGACGGTGTGAACCAAAAACAAGATTGAGAGTTTTCTTTGGAGGGGGCAGATTCTCCAAACCATCCAAGAACAACATAGGGGTACTCCCACTCAACGAATACCAAGTGGCCGGAGCGCTTTCCCGCGACCGTGGCGCTGAGGTGCCTCACCAACAGCATTTGGGCTGTCGCCAAGCTTGGGCTCCGCGGCCAGGCCCGGGGCAGGTGGGCTTCGGGGTGACCTCTGAAGACCCTGGGAGCCTTGCGGTAGGTGTTTTTTTTCATTGCCCGGATGTGGTTGAGGACAAGTTTTTATTTTTTTTGCCTGGCTTGCTCTTGCAGCTTCCGGCAGAACTAAGCACTCACGGATATCATTGTCAAGAAGCTCTCTTCTGCGGCTTATTTTGGATGTTGATGGACACGGCAACATCATCATGTTGCTGTATCCAAATGGAAGCGTTATTCTCGTTCGGGAAGTTGGGTGAAGAGCCCAATGATCGAGTTTCGGATTGGTTTCATGGCATGCCGCAGGATTCAGTACCACCCGCTTGCATGACCGAAGTCTGGGACAATGGCGGGATATTTCTTAGCACACTGAAGACTTTAAGGCTGGATTTCATGCGCAGATACCAGAGCTTTCGTGTTGAGTGGAGCCCGGCAACAGGAGGCCAACGTATTTGCACGGGAGTGCATCCTTCAGATCCACTCCGTGATGTTCAAGGAGCGCCAATTTGTGCTTGCCACGCTCAGGGTGGTTCTTGCCCAGAAATTTCAATTGCCAGGGCTGCTGATGTGCCATGGCAACCAAGGGAACCGCGCTCTTTCATGTTGAGGAGCAAGGGTTTTATATCATTTGGTCTGGGAATCCTCGTGCTGGGCACGACTCCTCTGAAGTCTGGATGTGGCATGCGTGATGCTTGCTAGTAATTTGAGTGACTGGATTTTCCTCGTGTGGTCCACTTGGTAGTCGTGGACGAGGAGGTAAGCTGCTCATACCACATGCTCGAAAAGCAAAGCGCCAATCACGGCTGATTGAGGTGATCAGTTAATTTCATTCTTGGAAGAGCGCCTCGATGGTAGTCTACCGCAGAGCTGTTGAATGGATGCAGTTGAATTTCATGTTCTACGCTTTTGCTTCTTAGATCCAAGAATCGCCGGCGCCAAATGTTTGGGCCGGGGCCAGTAAGTAAAGCTTGTTGCTTCAGCAGCTCAGATCAGCTCTGGGTTTTGAAGGGACGGTTCCCATGCACATCAATTTTTGTGGGCCCGGCATTGACATTGAAGTCAAAATATGCTCCGTGGACCCATGCTCTGGCTTTTGAGCCCCCCTGCGCAGGCCCAGATGCGCAGCAGGGATTGCATTTGAGAATCACTGGAGTCAGTTGCTGTCCCCCTGTTCTGATCCATACATCCAGATCCTTTTCGTGAGGCTGTCTCAGGCTCCACACTCTCCGTATCTTCCGCCAATGGCATGGCCTTTGATTAAGAGTGCTGTCAATGCTGTTCTGGGCAGACAGGGCCACTGACTTCCTGTTGTCCTGCCACCCTGTTGCCTGTCGCCTGAAGGAGATGTCCCCACAGGGCCTTGCCAACAGCCTCTGGGCATGCGCGGGGCTTGAGATGTGGAGTGCTAGAGGAAGCTTTCGGCTTTGTGGGATACGAACTTGAAGAGGATCCAGCACATGTTTTTGTTTTGCTGGGGTGGGTGTTCTAGTTCCATCAAACACATGCACCTTTCAGGAGCCATCATTTGACTCTGCGCCACTCGAGGGTTCCCCTGGCAAAGTTTCTCGAAGCCTCCTTTGTCTTTCAGATACGCCATGGCCAAAGCAAACGGCCTGCCAGGTCCAATTTTATTCTGAACCCATGTCTCGAGGTCATGCGCTTTGGTTGCAGTGTTGGTGCTTGGCTGCCTGATTTCTGGCTTTGTTGTTCGCCCTTTTATATCGTATATCAATCTGGTTCTTCAATGGCCGAGTCTTCCACCTCCTTTGGAGCCTTGGAGTTGGCATGTTTGGAGGTATGCTTGTTTTGCGGGCCTCGGCGGATCATTGCAATGAAGGCCTCTTCATCAAGCAGCAAGAAGTTGATCGGAGCTTCCAACGGCTGGCCGATTGACCATCTGCAGAACTTGGCTTGTCTAAGGAATCTGTTCTCGCCTAGGCCCACCGGAACAACGCTAGCTCCAGCCCACTTGGTGAAGGCGTTTTCGTACCATCAGGAACTTTGGGAGATGGAAAGAGAAGCTTTTTGGCCAGTAAACCAACCACAAGCATGGATGTGGACGGTGGCTCGGCACTAGGAATCGGACCCTGCCTCAAAACAGACAGAGCCGTGCCAAACTTATCCGCTTCCCGCTCCCTCTCAGGTGCCAAGCTCCAGTGTGACAGAGAGCCCGTGTTGGAGCCGGAGGATCGAAAGGGGAAGGGAGTTTGGCTTCTTGCTATCTGCGCGGACGAATGTGTACCGGAAACGCGGGACTGCAAACATGGAGATCCTGCGAAAGGGGCACTGATCAAGTCCTTTTCAGATACATGTGTATCAGTTCGTTGTGAAGAGGTTTCCACCCATGGTTCTGAGTTGCCTTTTGTCCATCACCAAAGAGATACTGCTTCTGCTGATGCATGGGGCAGATCGATTCGACAATCCACGCGGTCCAAACTTGCCAACCGACTATAAGAAAAAACACGTTGGGCCTTTTTCCCTTCTCTCTGCCACACCTGTTCTATTTCCTGCCTGCCTTTCTGTCTGCCTTTTTGTCTCTGACAGGCCAGGCTCCCCGGCTGTCAGGTGGCCAACCGCTTCTGCGTGGACGCTGCCCGCCGTGCCACGGCCTCGGAGGACCTGCTGCAGCTCTTCTTCCCCCAGGCGCGAGTGTCACTCGATGCCGGGTGGGTTCCGAATGGCCATGGGTCAAAAGCCAAATCGTACCCGTGAACATCCGATTCAATCCCCTACTAAAATAGGTTCTAAATGGGTGCCCCAACGTGGGACCCCATTGGTTTTGACCCACAGCCAAATCTTGCGTGCGGTTGATGTGGGTCTGGTCGTTGTTCGAGGCTCTGTGTACCCTTTTCACCTTGGGGTCATAAGGAAATCGATGATTTCTCCACCGATTGGCCCCAAGGAAACCGTCGCCTCACTGACAACTTGTCGGGTCCATCGATTTGGACGCCAGGAGCTGTCGATGGCGCTTTGGGGCATCGCGAAGCTTGTGGGCCGAAGGAGCCCTGAGGTCGCAAAGCGAGGGAGCGGCACCAGAAAGGGGGGGGGGGCCGGGGAGAGCAATTTAGAGATTTCTGGTAGATTGTAAGGAGGGGAGGTGGCTTCAAGCTTCAAGAGATCTTCTTGGAAGGGACAGGGGCAAAACTCCATGTTTGGCTGTGTGACTTGCAGCCAGTTCAGCGGATTGGTCTTGTGAGCGGGTGTCTTGGCCTCAGAAGTAGACACGGTTGTACCCTACAGCAGGAGCAATTTGTAAACCTTAAGTTTTGGGAATGCAGCCATGTTGTACTTGAGAAGACCCATGAGTGGAACAGCAGTTGCCATTTCAGTTGTCCGCGTTGTTTAAGAATAACACTGCCTCGCTGCATGAGGACGACATTTCCTTGGCATTTGTTAGCGGAACCGGGGACGCGTTGGTCAGAAGGCGGAAAGGGGACTGCTTTCTTTCCGTGTGGAGCATCAGCTGTGAAGGAGCCGCACAAGCTCCGGCACCCAAGTTGATGACATCGAGAGGCAGGCAGTCCGGAAGCGAGATTTCTGCGTTTGCTGGGAGGCTAAAAGGGATTGCTTCTGTTGGGAGGCCTCCCGGATCGCATGGGAATGGTCACCCCTCCCAAGACACCACTTGAAACCCTGGTGCCTTGGTTTGTGCCATGGTCCCTATGCTCGCCAATTGGAGGTGTTGCTATAGTAATTACGCCGATTTGTGGCGCGCCAACTTCCCAAGGGCAGTTCACACCATGGCACGCGTGTTTGATCTCGACATTGCTGGCGGTTGCAAGATTTCAGCCACTAGTCGGCTTTCGCGTCAGATGCGCATGCTTTCAGATCCGGTATCAATCAGGCACTTGTTTTTGTCAACATGTCTTTCTGCACCGGACAATCATGTGAGAGCACTCTCATAGTTGCATGCACGCCCATCTTCACTAGGCCTACTGAGCGTATCGCGTGGGACATCTTTAGTCTCTACACGTCGACCAGTGTTTGACTGTGCTTGTTCGGCATTGGGCTTGCCCAACATGTTTCATTTTGTTGGATAGGCATATTCCATCTTGGACTTGCTTTGACCGGTCCTGAGTCCTGCCTTGTTGCTTTGCGTTCTGAGCGAGAGGTTCGCGGCCGCCGTGGCGAGGGAAGGGCAGCAGCGCATCGCGGACTTCAGCCCGCAGGTCAATCCGCTTGGGACAGTGGAGACAGCTTAAAGAGGCGTTCGGGCGCTTAACAAGTGGTTAGTAACCATGGTCATAACCCACTTACCATGGTTGTAAGTCTCCGTTCAGTGAGTTATAGTTACCAACCACTTACGAAGTACCCTGCCGCTTTAAGAGGTACACGTATTTTCTTTTGAGCGTATCCCTCCAATTGGTGGTTTCGGGATTTGAACCCCTCATTCTTGTAGAGGGTAAATTGGAAGCCTCCAACCACCAACTAGAGAGAAGCTGAAACAACGGATGCAGAAGCTCACTTCGTCAAACTGTCGTTCAACTCTAATGTGTAGAGTTCAGGTTTCTTGTTTTTACATGACACCAGCATGGGGGCAGGACTCAGGTACTCGGAGCTGACCTGGTTTTCACTACGTACCTTTGCATGACCCTGGCCGTGCGCTGCATGCTGATTTCCTGCATTTGGAAGAGAAACGTTCGGTGTGTCTTGGCATGAGGTTGCAGTAATGCATGGTTTGCCTTCTAGAGATGACTTTTGCCTTTCGAACTGTCATTGCTCGTGCCGGAATTGTCTACCTTTGTCGTGTTTCTGACTTCGTGGCTTTGCGGGCCCAAACCAACCCATAGCCCCGAATCCACCCTCATGCCAATCTAAACCTAGCCCTAGGCCAACCCTAATCCAACTGCGAACCAACCCTTCTTCGAGCACACAAAGCTATGTAATTTTGGGCTAACCACTCAGAGCCCACCCACCAGACCGTACACCAACCCTGACCCGGAGAGCGAACCCTAAACGTACGACATCCAAACAACTCTCTGGTTACGCAGGCATTGGAGGTATATTCTACTGCGAAGGACACCATTACAGCGAAGATTAGCAGCCAATGGCAGTTCCTTGGTATGTTTGCGTTGATCAAACACGATCTAGTTTTTGGTAGACATGTTTGGAGTTTGCATCCTAGAAGATTGGTGTGAAATCTACCAATGATCATGATGGGCGATTTTTTGTTGATTTCTAGAAAGGCTTCCCCGAAAAGGGTACCCTCACAAAGATGAGTCACCCGCCTTGTTAAGTCTCAAGCTCCCTGCCAAGCTTTTCTCGAAAGGGCGTCTCCATTGTCGCCTGGGCACTGGCCCGGGACTTGGGAGTCGTTGGGGCTGAAATGGACTGGTTCCTCACATGGGGTGTTGTCAAAACATGGACCCTTTTGGGGACCTGGTGCCGCCTTGAAAGGGCCCTGTTGACAAGCCTTCACGTGCACACACTTTCATTCCATGTGTGTGATGCATTCTCTGACCTTTCTGCACCAAGCCTCAATCTCGAATCTGCCGGCAAATGGACCTGGAAGAAGGGTGGCGGGTTTCATTCCACAAGTTGTGTCGAGTCTCCTCGCACTACGGGAATCTATGGGCTCCGCCCGACTTGCCAGGTTTGAGCAGTCACGCACAAGCACGGACGCGCATATGCTTGATCGGCAGCTTTAGTTTTCAAACCGCGAGCATCGCGGACTGTGGTGGCCCTCTCCGCAAACTGAGCCGCTCCTTTCCTTGGCGTGAAAAGGAGCTCCACAGACTTTGATGGACAATTCGGACCTGGACTTTTTTCGGTGTTTGTCCAAAAGTGATCCAAGGGGTTCACTCATCCGTCCCATGAGGCCACTTTGGACCTGGCGGATTTGCCGGAGACCTTCCGCTTCTTCGAGGCGGCCACGGAGGTGGTTCCAGCGCTCAGTGGCGTCGCGGTGTTGAGAGGGTTGAGGCAGTCTGGACATGAGGATTCGGGTGGAAAGAACAAATCACGAGTTTTGTGGTGGTCCCAATTTCCGACTGAAGGGCAGGAATTCGGGTTTATGGGTGAGTGGGTGGGTGGGTGGGTGGGTGGGTGGGTGGGTGAGTTTGTGTGTGTGTGTGTGGTGTGTGTGTGTGTGTGTGTGTGTGTGTGTGTCTGCCTGTGAGCAGGCGGGCGGGCGGGCGTGCGTGCATGGATGGGTGGGTGGGGTTGTGCGCGTGAGCGGGAGTGTGTTTGTTTGTGTGTCTCTGTGCCTGTTTGCACTTTTAATGTCGGTAATTTGGGCAATCCAGACCTGAGTGGCAGATTGTTGGTGACGACAGTCACAGTCTTTGAGCAACTGCTGTCACTGTCATGTGAGCACTCTGATCACAAACAGCACACTCGCCAGAATTCCTCAAACGCTTTTGCTGCCCCAGACGTGCGAGACCTGAGCGACAAGACCTGAGCGAGGGTGGGGCACCGGGCACAAGCACAAAGCCGGTCCAAGGCAGCGAGAGAGATTGAGCAGTATCCGCCGCAGGCGGGGATTGATGTGAAGCTAGAGTTTTATCTCAGTTTCCAGGTTTGGGCCACTCCATGACTCCATGTCTGCAAACGTTGACATTACCGCTTGATGGACGTGCGCTTGCCAGTTGTCAGGCAATTGCCAATTTGTGCTGGGCGTTGAATCGAGTCCGCTACAAGCACAGCGTCTGCCTGGCATGTTATGGAGCAAGAGGAAGGGTGACAGGGTAACCAGCATTCCCTGAAGGGATTTCCCAGAACACTTGGGCTGCTCACATTTAAGTATATGTCAGTCAGAATTCGGTCACCAGACAGGGTGCAATTTTTGAACGACTGCAGCTAAGCCAGCAAAACTTCCTGCCAGACATGTGACTGATGTGGTTGAGTTTTTTGATTGCATTCACAAATTGTCTCACGTGGGGGACATGACTTGAAATTTTGCTGTGAGAGGATGCAGATGGCAAACCATTGCAGAGTTCACTGAAATCATGAACAAGGTCAACTATTCTTGTTCGTAGCACATTTGTTTTTCAAAGCCTGCCTGACCTTGACAAACACCTTGCAAGACGCACAGTGGTACGTAATGTGTGCACTTTTGCCAAGCTTTCGATCTTCCATTTGGAGGGGTTTTATCCTTGAATGTCATTTTTCGGTGTCTTCGCGCAGGTGCTCTCCAGTTTCGGCAAGGCGGCTGCACTGGAAGCACAGAAGCGGATGGACCATTTCTCTTGGCAGGACGGTGGGCTGGGTATGTGAGCATTGCACCCAGACCGCGTTGTATCTGGAATTCAAGTAGCGCACTACAAACAAACACCACACTACAAACAAACACCAATGACAGATGTGGGTTGAAGAGATTGGATGCATGCACTGCTTGTCCTAGCCGTTCAAATGTCCGAAGTGATGCCCAACAGGACTTTTCAGGCATCCTCAGCGCCTTGATGAACCTGGGGCCGCAAGTGTCTGAGGAGGCCAGCTTGCCGGTCGAAGGTGCGCGTTGAGGGAAGCAGCTGGTGATGAATTTGCAAATGGGATAAAGCAGCCACGTTGACGCAAACAAACAAGGGCTTCCTGAAACTTGGGCCGTGCTGGTATGATTCACGCGGATGCTTCATGGCACTGCTCCAGGTGTTGGCAGACGATTTCGCATGCGTGCATGGGAGGCTCGTTGCTGGAAATAAGCAACACTTGACACGCAGGTGCGGAGCCTGGCTAAGAAACTCGTGGAGAAAGCAAGCCGCGGGCCTGGCGGATGCCACTTTGGGCACCCCCCAAAGGCGTCATGCTGACGGAGCGGCATTCCAATCAGGGCGGTGGGGCACGTTTCCTCTTCGCAAGTGTGCCTGGAAATAGTGCTGCGGCGGAAAATGTTGTTCATGTTTTGGATCGGAACCACTTCATTGATCTGCGATCCTAAGTCTCGAACAAGCCTCTTCTAAAGTCTCAGCGGGATACATGCATGATTATACTTGCACAATCACCACATGCAGGGTCACTACATTTTCTGGAATGGTGGAATTAGCAGGATGCTTGCAGGACGCACTCAATTACATATGACACATCCAGCACTAGATTTGGGCATCAGGCATGTCGAAGAACTCACAATGTTGCTGACAGTGTCCAATATCAATCATGATGTTGTGGGCCCTGAATTTGATTCTTTGTCTTCTTGCGACAGTCCAGGGGCATCGATCAATCTGAATTGGTTTGCACGAGCACACCTTTCGAGAATTGCCCTCTGCATTGCCCTCTGCCGAGGCAAGGAATGTTCCAAGATTGGAACACAGGCGATCCTGAATCTTGCTCTCTCTGCTGTCCGACTCAGACTTGAAACGGAGGCGCACCCGCATGTGGATGATGACGCCGGGTTGTATCGCTTGCTTCTTGCAAACTAACTTGAGAAGCCTCAATCAGTCATGTATTTTGTGGGCCAAGAGGCAATCAGCAAAGTAAACAAAAATGCTAAAAAAGGGGGGAGGAGGAAGAGAAAGGGGGGGCTAGAGAGAAAGAGAGAGAGAGAGAGAGAGAGAGGATGGGGAGGAGAGGGAGAGAGAGAGAGCCAGAGAGAGAGAGAGAGAGATGACCAACAGCAGCAGTTGTGCTGATTTGATGAACATATCGTGACTCAAGACGGTTGCCAGGTCAAGTGAAAAGCTGGTGTGTAGGCGTCCAGCCATCCCAGGACAGGAAACCTTTCGACTTGGTTGCTTTTCTTTTATATCCGTTTGATTTCAATCAACGTCCAAGACGAGATGCCTCCTTTGGTCTGGCATTCCACAATAAGCTGCTCATTTGCCACTCATTCTATTTGCCTAGTTTTGGATGCAGATCAATGCACAAGATAGCTGGAGCGTCTGTATTCCTGTGAATTGAAGCCCAAGGAGGTAAATGTCCAAGGGATAGGTGCTGTTTCTTTGGGTACGTTGCAGCTGTCCCACGTTCATGTTGGATCAACAAACGAATCGCTTCGATTGGGACTAAGACAGAGACAGGGCAAGCATGAGTAAATATTGCAGCGCAACGTGCGCTTGCATAGCCTGCCCGAATCCACTGTTCGCCCATGGGTTGGCACGACTTTGCACAGGGGCAACAGATACATTTCATGCGTCTAGACTGCCTTTCCGTGTGCTTGTGGGACCTATGGCCTTGGGAGGACTTGTAGCAAATGTTGCCACGATCAAAACACATGCCACTTTCATTTGAGCTCTGCCCAAGGATCTTCTAGCACAGATTCCGAAAGGCTCTGTATCTCTGAATGTACATGTGAACTAATTGCCATTGAAGTCTTGAACTTGACAATGAAGCCTGCACAGCTAAGTCCGTTGTCCAAGCTTGCCACCACTTTTACCGGTTTGAATGTGAAACTGCCACCTTCGGCCAGGTTGTGAGGCCGCTGGCACTGGGCATTAGCGAAACCTTTGCAGTCCGCGGCCAGAGACTCTCGGCTGAGCATTCGTTGCCATTGGCTCCAAGGTGTGCACTGGGGCTGGGGCTTGGCCCGAATCGAATTCCTAGGTTTGATCCTTGAGTCGTTGATTCATGCGTCGTTCACCGCAGGCTGGTCTCAGTCAGATAAACAAGCTGAGCATGGCAGCCGGATCCAGCTTTTAGAGCTGGCCAAGCGCCGGAAGCTCTTGCTTCGAGGTCAACCGGCCAGAAGCTGGTGCCTCGTAAGTCAGGGTCCCTTGCCCCTTGAATCATGGATTAGGTCTGTTTTATGGGCCGTCCAAGCTTGGACAACTTTTTTTTGGGACAGTTCTAATTTTATGTGGGTGCTTTTAAAGTTTAAAGGGGACCTGGGAAAAATCTGGGGCCTTTCATCTCCCACCTTGCGCCACTCTTGGAGCCAAGGTAGCCCACTTGAATGAATCAGCCCGATCAGTGGATGGCATCCCGCTGTGGTACCCTTGACTGCTCCATAGCCGGGGGAAACACTCTGTGGGCGTATGCTTTTAGAGGGTACCAACAGGAAAACCGCCATTTCGGGGTCCCCTCAAACATGACACGCACACGCAGGACGAAGCGCATGCTTTCCTCGGCATGAACCCTTCAGCTTGAGAAATGCTTCGGGGATTGCCAGGAAGTCCCGCTAAGAGGCCGCGCAGTTTGTAATCGGAGGATATGCGTCGACGCTTCGATCGCTTAGGCCTGAACGACATCGACATGAGGCAGTGGCAGGAGATCCAGCGCTATGTTGGCTTGGAAGGCCCCGAGAGTGCCTTTCTAGCGGCCCGTTCCATATATTATTTGTTGACTGAGGCCCATTTGCTTACTTTTGAAGTGAGGAATTTAGAAGACTGGTTTTCTTCGTTGGTGTTTGAGTTGCTTGCTGTTTTTGAAGCCATTGAAACTGACACATCACCTTATGGAGAGTCGCAGAAAGTTCTTCGGAGCCCCAACCTGGTTTTCGCGTCAGGTGGCTTCGAGAAAGGCAGGAGGAGCAACCGAGGCAACAGGAGGAAGCGGCTGTGATGCCCCATGGCCACGAGGATGATGATCCCTCGTCAGATCGAACCAGACAAGGCCAGTGCTTTGGGGTTGTGGCAAGAGGCCCAATGCCACATAGCTTTTGTCATATTTGACCACATCCCAGTGGAGAGCCAGCTGTGCAGAGGCAATGCTTTCCTTGATCCGCCCACGCTGTTTTGATCAGCGGCCCATGGATTTTGCTGGCCCGAGGGTTTTCCGAGGCGCCTAAAATGGGGCCGCGAGGACACCACTTGGTCCCGGGATTGGTTCTCGGTTCAAGAGCTGCCTGCGGGCTTGCTCGACATTTGTGGGGCTATGGAGACCAATCATTCTTCCATGTTTTTGTCACACCCTGGGACTGCACAGCTTGACAAAGAACCAAAAGCAGATATGCCGGTTCAGCGCGAAGATGCTGTTTTTGGTGGGTGTAGTCTCAGGGGTGTGACAGAAACATAATTCAGAACTGTTGCTTGGTTATGCTGGATCTTCCTGCTCCCCACTTCTCTTCACTACCTCTCCAGAGGGTACCTTCGGAGTCGCAAGAATGTGCACATCCGTATTACGTATTAGCGCCGCTATGGGTCTACGGAACCAGAGTGACACGGAAAGTGGGTAGTTTGGCAGTGCATTCTTTGCAGGACATGACAGTATCATAGGCACACTGGTCATGCTGCATTTGTACGAGCACCACCTTTGACCTGGCGGGTGCTTGTTTGCACGACGTTTACAAGATATTGCAGATGGGCGATCCTGGATGTGAGCGTTTCCCAGACAACACGAGGACTTGCTTTGTTGCCAGATCCTGGTGACGCTTACCTGCTCCTTGCATGTTCCGCGAGGTCTTAGCCTGTGTCAGAAACATGGCAATTCAGGATGACCTTGAGAGTTAAGGCCGGTCATTACAGTTTGCTGCCAAGTCTGTCACAACAATTGAGGGCCGAATCAGAGCTGTGCATGTGAGCACGTGACGCAGTTCTGATCAGCCGCGCTTGGCAGCGCTGTTTGATTCCGGTTCCGGAATGCAGTGCCTGAAGTGAGCTTTATTGCGCGGAGAACACGGAATGGAACCAGCCGGCCAAACAGCCCCTTGTACTTTGCGCCCAAGTTCATGGGCCTTTTTTGGGGCAGAGAGGGCAGCATGTGCACGTGCCGCGTGCTGCAAACACCCTTCTGATCTGACATCGGTTGTGGCTTTGTTGATGAATGTTTTCTTTGCAGGTATGTTGATATGATTTCAATTGAAGGGCAAGAATTCGGCGATGGAACTACACTTGTTCTGCGATGAACATTGTTCAACTGAGGAATCACACCGCATCGCAGAACATCGTGAAATTTGACCTTGAATCAGAGCCTCTAGCTTGCGACATTCGTCGCCTCCAAATACCATATATATATATATATATATATATGAACATGAGTAATTTTAGATGGACGAATGTTTTGTTAATTCTTTCAACATTTTTTTTTTCAAATTTAACTAATTTATATATTTCACATATTTATATAGTTATATATTTATATATTTATATATGTATTTGTATTGAAATTTTATGTTTATTGTTTTGATACGAATTTAAATATATTATGTTGATATATTTAATTTTTTGATATATTTGTTTGAATATCAATTTACTTTTTTGTTATTTTTTTTTGAATATTATAATTTATATTTAATTTATTTATGATTTGTTTTGATTATGTTGTTTTGTATTTATGATTGATAATATGTTTGTTTGTAAATATATTGTTTTGTTTAAATTTTGTTTACTCTATAAAGCGAAACCGTGAAACTTGTTCGTCGCATTTGCGCGCATTTTCCCGGACCGCTTTTCCGAAAAATCCCGGATATTTTGGAAAATTGGTCCGGGCTGCCCCTGGAAGATGCAATCGCTTTATATTTCCTACAAATCTGTTCGGGCTCGGCCATAATCCGGAAGATGTAGTGGCTTTATTTTTTGTAGGGACTAATTTCCCGAAATATTGTAGATATTTCGGCAAAATCGTAGCCACGTATTATTTTCTCGAAATATTCCGAATATTTCGGGAACCATTTTCGCCGAAAACTTCCAAATATTTCGGGAAATGCTGTCGTCGAAATATCCGGGATATTTCGGAAAAATTGTCTGGAGTGCAATTATCGAAATATCCGGGATATTTCGGAAAAATGGTCCGGGCTTTGAACGAAGCCGTTGTGTCTTCTAGATAAAGAGTCGGGGCATTAATCTGCCTGCCCGTAGCAATTTTGGCTGAAATTTTGGCCCATCTGCCGAGAGTTTGGCGATGCGAGAAGCTGTGAGCCGCGGCCGATTGTTGCGACCAGTGGTGTTTTTCCCAATGCTTTGGGCGAAATTAGTTCGGCTTTGCTTACACCCAGGATGTTTTCTGGTCGATCGCGTTTTCGCTTGCGCTTGTAACAACTGTGTGTGTGGATGGATCTTTTGAGGCCAACAGCCCGCGGATCCGTTCTCACCTTGCTCAGGTGACCGCCTTTCACTGACTCTTTGGCGTGCCCTTATCGCGACCAGCCCGGCCCTCAGTGCGTCTCGCGACCTGTGTTTGGAGAACGGCAGCATGCTTTTCGCATGCGACGAGTATACGTTTTTTGATTCATATGAAATGATAAAATATATTGGTGCCTGAGTTGCAAAAAATGTCTTGCCGGCGCGGGCTCTATAAGATTTGCTCTGTTCTTGGCACACCCACCACGGCCTGACCTTAAAAGCTTGGCCCTTTTTTGGCACCCGCCTCAACTTACCCCTACTTGCTGGTTTGGATTGGTGGTTTGGGGATTGAACCCCTGGATCATGTTGAAGTTGAATGGGAAACCACCCCCTAACCTCCAAAACACCGATCCAAACTACCAATCCAAACCGGGCCCAGTCCAAAGAGGGCCGCCGAACACCTGCAACCACCTCCTGGCCGCAGGCCAGAATACAGCCGTCGTGGAGGGCAAGGAGCACTCACTCGCTCCCTTGGGCAAGGGCGCCAGGGAACAAGACATCAGAATCCGGTTCGCTGCGCGCCGGAGGTGTGTCTCTTTTTGTCTCTGTCTCTGTTTCTGGTATCTGTTGTCTGTCTGTCTGTGTCTGTGTCTGTGTCTGTGTCTGTGTCTGTGTCTGTGTCTGTGTCTGTGTCTGTGTCTGTGTCTGTGTCTGTGTCTGTGTCTGTGTCTGTGCCTGTGCCTGTGCCTGTGTCTGTGTCTGTGTCTGTGTCTGTGTCTGTGTCTGTGTCTGTGTCTGTGTCTGTGTCTGTGTCTGTGTCTGTGTCTGTGTCTATGTCTGTGTCTGTGTCTGTGTCTGTGTCTGTGTCTGTGTCTGTGTCTGTGTCTGTGTCTGTGTCTGTGTCTGTGTCTGTGTCTGTGTCTGTGTCTGTGTCTGTGTCTGTGTCTGTGTCTGTGTCTGTGTCTGTGTGTGTGTCTGTGCCTGTGTCTGTGTCTGTGTCTGTGTCTGTGTCTGTGTCTCTGTCTCTGTCTCTGTCTCTGTCTTTGTCTCTGTCTCTGTCCTGTCTCTGTCTCTGTCTCTGTCTTTGTCTCTGTCTCTGTCTCTGTCTTTGTCTCTGTCTCTGTCTCTGTCTCTGTTTCTCTCTGTGTATTTGTCTCTGTCTCTGTCTCTGTCTCTGTTTGTGTCTGTGTGTCTGTGTTTGTGTTTGTGTCTTTGTGTTTGTGTGTTTGTGTGTTTGTGTGTTTGTGTTTGTGTCTCTGTTTGTGTCTGTGTGTGTGTTTTGTGTTTGTGTTTGTTTTTGTTTTTGTGTTTGGTTTTGTTTTTGTGTTTGGTTTTGTTTTTGTGTTTGGTTTTGTTTTTGTTTTTGTTTTTTTTTGTTTTTTTGTTTTTTTTGTTTTTGTTTTTGTTTTGTTTTTTAATATATTGATTTGTTTGATTTAATTGATATTGCATAAATGAATTGTTATGAATTTATAAAATTTAGGGTTTGTTTTCTATATTGTTAATAGAATTAGGATAATTTGATGCAAATTGGAGGATCTTGTGTTTAGGTAGGATTAGAATGATTTGTTTTTAAAATTTGAATCGATTATGATAAGACTTAGGTTAATAATACAATGGTGAAATTGGCCGATTTTGATTTAATTTAAAAGATTCGAATATATGATTTTTTAGGTTGATCGAAATCGTAAAACATATTTATGATGTTATAATAATTGTGTATGGGAATGGATTTTTAAGGTTAATAGTTTATGGTTTTTTTCTTGCTCTGTTTGGACGATTGCCTTTTATTGACGTTTGGGTAGGCTAGTTTGAGTTATTTATTTTCTCGAAATATTTCGAAATCGATTTTTGTTAAGCTCTTGCTCGGTCTGCTTCTGCTTATTTTTGTTTTTGTGAGTATGCTCGTGCATATTTGGCTATAATTGTTAAATTGGAATATTTTTTTACTTATGCTCTGATTTTGTTACTTTCTTGCCATGGGCTTTATTTTGCACGTTGTTGGAAAGTAGCGGGCCCCCGCTAGTATTTTATATATTAAATATTATAGAATGTTTTTTGGTATGGATTGTTATATAAGATTATTAATGTAATTGGTTTTGTGTAAATTTTAAATAGTATTTACATTATATTTTTAAATAATTTTTAAATAATGTTTTTTTGATATTCAATGAAATAATATTGTTATTTTTAAAATATTTTTGAAATTAATATTTTAGATATTAATATATATATAATTTGTTTTTAATTATATTAATATTGATTTGTTATGTATATATATTCTTTTTATTGTTGAATAATATTGTGTTTTTTTTTTTTAAATTTATTTTTTTTTTTGATAATAACATAAATATATATTATATTAATTATATATGTTTGAAGGAATTTTTGAGGGAGGATTTTTTAGATTTGAAGAACTATAGTTAAATTGAATTTTATTTTTGAGAAATTTTATTGTTTTTGATTTTTTGGATATTTGTTTTTGATTTATATTTTGTTTATTAGGGTTAGGCTCGAAGCTTTCTTAGGCTATTAGACCCGATCTTCGTAATTTAAAGGGTGTATGATATATTCCATTACCTTGAGCATTGTTCCTCACTACCTTGAATATTTTCAAGAAATCGGAATCGGAGCCCATAACTACTATACTTGATGGTGTGAATACCACTATTGAAGGGAATTCCTTCGAAGGCAAATAATCGCGGGCCGTGAGTTGTGGGAATGATTTATCGTAGTATTGCAAGAGTGATCCTATTTTTCTAGAAGGTATATGGATAAAGGTTTGGAACGGTTTTTTAAGTAAATTTTGCCAAAGAGGCATGATAGGGGGAGGACAGAGGGGATGGAGGGAGGGAAGGGGAGGGGGGGGGCAAGAGGAAGGAGGAGTAGGGGGCGGATGAAAAAGATATTCCTTCACAGGTTTTGGGAGGGG